ATATATATCTTTGGAACGATAATCAAAAAAATAAAATTACCCGATTTGATTGCGTTTCAGATGGGCCCATGTCCAGTCGTAGCCATACAAAGGGGCCTTGTAGACATTCAATACGATACAAAGTTCGTTTTCGCTGAGACAAACGCCCTTTTTTACGATTGGGTACGCGATCGAAGTGAGCCGACTGGCTGGAAGGTGGTTAAGACAAGTCGACAAGCCGGCCTCCTGATCTTGACGAAAAAGCCGGGTATGCTGTCACATCTCGGATCTGCTGATGATGCGGAAGACATCACTCAAACGTACCGCTGTCCCACGGCAGAGAACCAGCTGGCACACCAGAACCAAAGAAATGCTATAAATTTGAGTCAAGAGGACGTTCAGTACGAGCTCGTGAAGATAGCTCGTGTGAGAGCCGGCGATGGATTCCAGATTCAATTGCGAATCAAGAACGTGTCCTCAATATTGAGGACAGTCAACGTGACGATCTCGGTGTTCTCGCTCGAATATACGGGATCGATCAGTAAAATGGTGAAACGCGAAAGGATCAACGGCGTTAAAATACCGCCACAGGGGATAACTCCTTGCTTAGTCAACATCGCCCTTGAAGATTATCAAGTTGCAATTTCTGATTTCGGCCTTCTGAAGATAATGGCTGGTGCTAAAGTTGTCGAAACGGGGAAAACCTGGGCAGGGCAATTTACGTTGAAGTTGGGGATGCCCAAGTTAGATATTGTAGCGCAAAGAAATCCAGCGGTAGCAAGTGAGATTTTGTACTCGGCGTCATTTCTCAATCCGTTGACCATCCCATTAACGCAAACCTCGCTTGTCGTCAACATACCCGGTCTTGCCACTCATGAACACATCCGGAACCTGCCAAGCGTACCGGGCCTGGGTCGGTTCACTTGGCAAGGTAAAATTATCTCTGATCGAATTGATGAAAAGGTTTTCATAATTACATTTAACTCGGATAAGCTGTCCGGTCTCGACGGAACGTACTCAGCCATATTGTAAGTTGTATGAGCAGCCGACTCAAGCACAGCAACCTCGTCATAGTGTGGCTTGTAATCGTAGAAATCGTATGATCATAGAATTCAGCACATGCACTGAAAATATCTTTTACACTAGCCTGGGTGCACCGAAACACTGTCAGACTCATAAGATCTTCTTTGCGTTCAAGCAGAGTTGCAGTGTTGGACGCCATGATTTTCGGCCAGGAAGAAGGTTTATTTGACGTCTGAACAGCGTGGGAGGTTTATGTTGTACGCGTAGCATTACAAAGTACACCTAATAAATGCGTATGACAAGATAAAGACAATTCTCAATCAAATCTCGCACTGCTAACGATTCATTTCACGCTCGACCTGTTCGCCTGCAGCTGGTTTTCACAATTAAACATCAAAATCTGTTTTGTTACATTAATTTAACTAGTACGAACAATTTCATCAGACTTTATAATTGTTTCTAATACGTTCGCAAAACAAATGTTACAAGAACACCCGTACGCCGCATAGAAAATGAGTTGGTGTAGGGGCAAGTATGACACCTCTAGGATATGTTGAAAGCAGATAAACGTACAAAATATACTATTCGTATAAAAAATTAACATTATAACTACCAATTATCATTACTACAATACGATTGAACAAAATAACACATGCGGTGTTACGTGTTATTAACGCGAGCGTTTGTGTTATTTGCCAAACGTTTAATAAAAGCACTCGTATCCCAGCATTTCATCAAATCGCGTCTTTGTATCCCATATATGCACAGGTCTACTGAACGTTGATCATATTAATATTCGATATATATATCGATATATATTGAAGATTAAAAGAAATGAGGAAGTAGAGATACTGTTAGATAAAAAAAATGTATCTATTTAGGTGCATGATCTAGTGAAGAAGTTCTTAAATCTTCCTCTTCGAATGACTAATCGCATTAGTAAATAGCGTAACATATAACAAACGGAGACGTTATGAAAAGTATTTATGTATAATTGTGCTTTTGCATCGAAATACTGGAAAAGTATATTTTTCCGCTTAGTAGTCTTTAGATTGAACCAGCGGAGGTTAACGTGTCCACTTCTATTAATAGCAAGAAGGCGTCGCAACTGTTGCGTCTCTTTTTCTTAGATTGTTGTCCCTTTTCAGTTTATCATTGGGAAAATTCGGTGGGATTGATTGATGACGATTATAGTTATTTGAGTTTCGGATAAGGCTTGGCCGTTGGATAAATATTTGTGTTTAACTTATAATAACAAGGGCTACAGTGTATGACGTAATTATCAGTCTGGTACGTTCGAAGATAGATAGATATCGCTTCTGTCTGTGATCTTCGTTACTATTGTTGGCTTAGCTCTCTCGGTCAGTGTTAAATCTAAGCTAAAGTACCCGTGCTGTAATAAACAAGGCGGTGCTTGATTGATTAGATCTTGTATACGATCAGAAGAACGTATCGGAATAAAAACTGATATTTGATGGCTGTATTTACTAAGTATAGGCACTGCTCAGCTCGATCCAGATCCTAAACGGCCCACAGGCACGTTTCAAATGCTCCCCTTGCAATTCTCCGAGCGTCGCCTTACTAGCATGTTGTCAGGATGGGGCTTACTAGACTCCCGTCCAATAACGCATTATTCAAAGCAGTCCAACGGTATTAAAGTTGAGCTCCTCGGCGGCTATATTTGCTCATTCCAGAACATCAGTGTATTTTCAAGTGACCAACCCTTTTCCCATTCTTTCATCAACCGTGGCCGACAACTGTGCGTCAACCCGCAATAATAACATCTAGACCGTGATGAAACCAGCGAGCATTGCCGCAGTTTATGTTTGCATCGCGATTTCCCCTCAAAGACAAATCGACAGCGACCTGCTTCTTCGATCTTCTGGGAGCTAAATAGCAAGTAACACCGACCAAATCGTTTGATCCTATTCTCTTCAAAAAGCATCTGTTTCACTCTCAAGGAGACACGACATACACTTGAGATCCTCGTGAATAGTCCGTGAAATCACATCAAATTTTTTCATTAGCGCCCTGTTCAAAATAGAAGAATCATTAGAAGGCCACTACAAGACAATGGCAATTAGCTTTGAAATCGGCACTGTTTTTTCCTATATTCTGAATTTTCTATCACTATTTCTGTACTGGAATCTGCTTCTGCCTCTTCTGCAGCCCTACCTTGTCTGGGGTACACTGTTGATTTCGAATAACTGACAGCGTTTAGGATCTTGGTTAGGGTTCGTAGAGACTGGATAATAGCTGATTTTGGCTCGAATTCTGAATGTGTTCGTCCCAACGAGCTTGCTGTGTCACTGTAAGAAGAGCTGAATCTTGTCTCTTACCAGTAGTAGTAAATGTACGCATGCAGGCTATGACAAAGAGCTCGCCAAAGTATGTTTCAACGTAAGAGATATATATATATATATATATATATATATGTAGAGGCCAGCAATACACTACAAAATGTACAGAAAATTATGTAGCTTTGCCGGAGATTCTCCAAAGACAAGTTTTTATACAATTTATCTCCAGGTCTCGCTTCCAAATTATATGTGATGATTTAAGCTCATTACCTGAGGCGTATTTATCTATAATCTTAGCCATCGAAGTAAGTAGGTCTGTTACTTGTGTCAACCGGCTTACGCATTTTTTTGGGAGACAATATAACAGTAGAATGCATTGTATAGGACTTTTGTTATACGCTTTTAACAAGCGACTATACGCATCTACTAAGCTGATTTCATGTGATTTCACACTGCGATTTTTTACTTTCGATCGCAGGCGCATCCTTATAATGTTATGCCAAATCGTCGTCGTGTCGGCATGAGCGTGCTGTTTATGGCGACGACACTTTGTCGAAAGTTAGTATAGAGCCCTAAAATGATATCAAGTCATAAAATATGAAAACGGTCCGACTATCCAACTTCATACTTTAGCATCAAATAGGTAAACGTTAGAACGACCCAGTGATTAACTAGGATCTACTTACGTCATCGAAGGTTCGATCTTTTACCTTCTGCAAGGATATGCTTTCTTTGTTTCCATAGTGTCTTACGTGAGCAACCGGATAGCAGAAAGAGACAGATAGGAAAGAGAGGTGCTGTCACAGAGACCCGTTCCTACGAGTCCACACGCCAAGCTTATAACAATCATTCAATAAATCTTTCTTTAAAGAATAGTTTTTTCCCCTTTTCTCTCAGCCGCACTTCTTGTGCGAAGCATAATTAAAGGGATCGAAAGCCTCTTCGGGTGTTCTTATATACACGGCCCTCAAGTCCACCCAGGGATAAAAATTATCTAGCCAAAATAACTGAAGGCGACTTCTCCGTGACAGTGGGTTCATTTCTCTGTTATTCGGCCCCTCCCTGCGCTTGATTTCTTTTATGTTTTACTTCTATTACGTTGATTTTAGGCGCGTTCCATTGCGCTTAGGGGAGACTCCTTGACCATTCAAAGGACGCATATTCGGTACTGTCATTGTCCTTCAAATGCGACTGGAGGAAAAGGGGCAGTCCCCAAATGAAAATATTTTCTTTCGCCTACTTCCCCAACGATTTTGTTCCAAACACAATCCACATATCCGAAAACACCAGCTACAATTGTTCATACCGCGTTTATGCTCTTGGCACGTACGTGGCGTGCGTCGGCTTCCAGTAGCTAGTCTATTATAAATGTACAGAAATAGAATATAGCTTTAGCTTTAGATTTTAGTAGCTACTACTAGAGTCAGACGATCCTTGGTTACCTGTGTTAGAAATTAACATTATTATTCCTTCTATTCAAAAGTTTCTGCTGAAACTGCTATAGGTGTTCTAACCCATAGCATTGCTTGGATGCATTTGTACGATTGTATCGTAGTGCTTTTAAAGGTAAAAAACAAAGCTCAAGATTATTAAGTTGACGTGTCGTTTCCTTTTCCAGATCTCAATCTTTGTTACACCAACATTCAAAAATCCTGCTCACAATGAAAGGAGTTTAAAGGCTAAAACGAGGCTATTCTTGCCAAAACAAGTGGATTTGAGAATTTCAATTATAGTGCAAAGAGTCATGCAGTTTACAAGCAGCGAATGTGACAGTGTCTGCGGGCTAAGATCGGCAACATAGCCAACGGTTTTTTTTTCTGTTTCTAGAAGATTTGTCGCACCTCATATATCTATCCAATATACGTGATTCTGGTTGAAGATATAGTCTTTGCGTTCGCTCGTGATGTCTTTTTTGAATCAGACTTTAGGGCGGGAATGTCTAACCTTGCCTGAGTAACAACTTGGTCTCGGACAAAAGAAACCTGTGGCCTGCCTAGTTCACCTCGGAAAAAGCGCGATGGAAATAGCGGGTCAACGAGAAACCTTAACTCCGAAATTGGCGGAGCCTATAAAAGAAGTACGACGCTTCCGTCAGTAGAGCGACGAGAACAAAGATGCGAAAATGACGATTGCGTGAACTATGTTCGATTTCAGTTACTTAACGTTCTCCGCTGACGCGATTCACCTCCAGAGACGCTCTAAGGTTCCGATTAAAGCTTTGCTAAAGGTGTGACGTACGCTTAGACTGGCTTTTATATAACGACGGCAACAAAACAATCGGGGCAAGAAAGCGGCATCAATGAAAACCCACTAGGAAGGTCAAATCTGCTCGGAGAAACCTAGTGAATGGCTAGGACAACAAAGCGATATCATTATCGTATGAAAATCCTGTTGCCAGAGGATTACGCGACCAATCGAAGGTAAAGCAAGAATCCGTACCCATCGGAACTGGTAGGAGAGAGCAAGTAACTACGCGTTTTGCAGTAGTTGCAGAAAAATGCTTTAAAGCTCCATCTGACTTATTCGACATGCGATCTAACCTTGGTGACGCGAACTTTGTCGTCTAAATTTGGTCTCCAGTGAGGATTGACTTAACGATTGAGAAGGAGAATCATAAGTCAGAATTCAGTGAGAAGTAAAATATGAAAGGCGTAGAGGATCAGTTTTTCTTCATTAAGTTTTGAACAAGGTCCGTGAATGGTGCGGGTAGAGACTGACACAAAATGAGAACCACATGCCACTAGAAGATGAGGAGACAGGCAAGCAAAGTACTAAGGAGAGAATCTCCATTACCTTTATTGCACTTTTCCGCCCTCCTTACCCATCGTGTTGAACCTCTGGGCTCTCATTGGCACTGAATTGGTCCTGGCCCGCCACTGTTGTACAACAGCGACGCCTCACAAGGAGAATGAGACAGGAAGGGGCTCCGTCGTTTGAGATGATTGATGTCTGCTCGATGAGATCTCTGGACAGCGAGCCGTATTGACGTTTTTCCCATCTACGTCTCCCAATCAGCCACAAGAATATAGGGGTAAAGGAACGAAGGGCAGAATACAAAGATCTTTCTAGCTTATGTGAGTTGTACATTCAATCGAGGTGGGACAGATGGCGGATCGAGGACACGGGGAGATAATCTGATGGACCAATGTGCACAGGTACAATTTGGACCGACGGCCGCACAATCCTAGCATAGGATAAACTGGGTTTTATCCCTAGGATGCATAAGGCGACTTGAGAGAGGGCCTCAATAAGGAAAGGGCAGTCGGCCCTTTCCACAGAGGCCTGACTCTCAGGAGTGAAGCACGCAAAGAGCGTGCATTATTGTGTCCAACCTCTGGTATCACAAGCGAGTATCTATCTCCTTTAAATACTGAACAAGGTCGAGTGTTCATGTAGATTGCTCCCTTTTAGCTACTGGTGTACTGAATTCGAATTTCTAAGGAGGTGTCAGCGATGTGATAAGACTGTTTAGTAGAGCTATTTAGAGAATTTTGTGCACTTTTTTTCCAGTTATTGTTTTTACTAGTGCGATCCACGGACAACCAGTCATCTAGGAATTTAATGCGTGTTTGTGAAAGTTGCTGATGAGGATCTGACTTTCAGAGGTATCGGACGTAGCCATCTGGTATTTTACGAGTTGCATTTGCTGATCACCTGTGAAGCGCTCTGGTGTCTTTCGAGGCCATACTGTCGACTATTTTCTGCTTCTTGCTTCCCTTCCGGCCACTTTATGGAGCGGAAAAAGATTGAAAGAAGTTGGATATTGAAAGTCAGCCAGGTTGGCCAAACATACGCCGGATAAGGTCGTCGGTTTTATTATTAGTTTAATAGTAAGCCAAAGTACTCAAACAGGAGATCGACGAACCGAAGCTAGGATTACTGAACCGGGTCATTTCCTATCAGTTGCTCGCGATGAGGGTGCTAATAACGGCTTGGCTACCGCTACTGTATGGCATTACACGAGTCAATGGTTTGCGCGAAATGCCTGGAAGAAATCGGGATGTTGGTAAAACAAAAGAGTTGAAGTGCGGACCAAACGAACGAGTGCTTGCTCTCGAAGGAGCCGAGGCATCGCTTCCATGTCAAGTGCGCTTCGACGGAACAGAAGCACAGTACATGGAATGGACGGTAAAGTTAGGCCCATTGAAAAAAGCCAAAAAGAACAAATCAAAATTGACAGGTAAAGCGGGATCCAGTCTAGAGTTAATGTACCGGCTCGATGGAGGAAATGGTACAATTGACACAGCTGGCGTGTGGAAGGACCATCGATGGTCTCATAAAGCGCGCTTTTCGTTGCTGAACTCGGAGCTACAGCTGATCAATCTCAACGTCAGTGATTCCGGAGTGTATGGTTGTAACGTACGACGAGTAGATGGCTCTTGGAAGAACTGTTCCACACAGCTGTTCGTCCAGGGTAAGTGCTTAGAGCCAGTTTTTAGATAGAACGACAACGTGCATTAGAAGAAAGAATAGAGGCAGGTCTGGCATACTGCATGTATTGCACATTTTCTGTCGCTACAATAACAACACAAACGCATAGCATATGAGCATTTATGTTGCTATTGTAGAGCCGTTTCTAGTCCACGCATCGATTAGCGCTTCCTAAAATTGATAGCATAATTTCCGCTACATTTGGCCGTGCAAACAACGTACTTTTACGTAGGAATATATTATTTACGTGCCCGATGGAGACAGAGCCTTCCAAATCACATCATAGCCCCGCAGCCGGTATGTAAGAATACGGACGTAGAGACGCTCTTCAGAAGCATATATATATATATATATATATATATATATATATATATATATATATATATATATATATGGACCTTTTTTACAGAAATTCATTCTCTCGCTCTCCTCATAAATTAAATCGGCCCTGTTAAGAGTAGCTTGTCGTTGCTTAGTTTAGCTATGTAGCTGGCCTTCAGACGGCATACAAAGCTGATGATCACAATGTACCAGTTAAAATGATGCTGATTGATTAGATCCTTTTTTCCTTATAGTTCGTCTAACCATACCCTTTGCTTCTGCTTCCGCTTCAAGTATCGATCTGCTTTCACCCCCGCCGCTCAACACCGGCTGCTCAATCCTTTAGCGCAGTCCGTTTCAACCTCGTTCTTAGAACAACTGAATAGCCAGCAGAGATACGTATGAGGAAGAGGAAAGAAGTGGTTGAAGGGGGGGGGGGGGTAGTTGGCGCGTTGAAGGGGGTGAGATTCTTAAAAACAAGCCCTTCATTGTATCTAGTTGTGGCTGTCTTTCATCATTTAGACTCTTCGTCAAATTGCGAAAGCTCTTTGAAGCCCGGAAAAAGGTGTAAAGGCACAGAGTAAGAGCCATGTCACCTTCGTGCGTCTCGGCGAGCATCAACTCCCGACCGAAACAGGGGAGCTCATCGCCCGCCAGGCAGCAGGCAAGTCAGAAAGAAACTGGGAGAAAGGGCTCACCAAGGCAGCGAGCACAAAAACACCAGTCCGCCTCAGATTTGCCAAAGCTTCGTTCGTAGCTCCTCTTGCCAGCAGACTGCAATGTGACCTAACTCAGCCAACCGATTTCGCCTGACAGTCCGTCTTTCGTTCCTTGCTGCGAGAGATGCCGTCAGTCGAAGAAATCCGTAGCTCTGCGCCATGTTAGCATCGACGCAAGTTTTCATTCCCTACCCTCGCGTCCTCTACGACTCTGCCTCGAGCTGATACTTCCGTAACTGGACGACAGTCTTCATGCAATGAACCATCCCGCACCAGAGCCAACTCCGCAATTGAAACCGTTTTCTGATCTGGAATAAGGAGAGGTCGCACTTTTCACTTGCATAATAATATTATTTTGCTAGTAAATATGACAAAAGCTTTATGGTAAAATTTTACTATAAATGCAACATTAACTATCTGCTCTTTTGCCATAATTGCATAAGAAATATCTTACAGTTATCGATGATGCAAGTTCGCTTCTAATAAACCTGACTGTCTGTCGCGCGCAACTATGATATCGAGCAGCGTGTATTATAAAATGGTATCGAATAAGAGTGAAAAGAAATTACTAGTAGTTGATACGGTTTCTCTTGTTAGTGAATACGTTCTACTACCAATAATTGTGGATACGTACCCCAAGTATACGTTCCACCATTAGTTTGCTGTAAACAATTGGGTTACCAACTCTTTGAGGGTTGAGTTAAGATATTCTTAACGTATCTTAACTTAAGATAGCTGACCTTGAAACTGAAATTGAACGACGCGCACTGGAAGGCATCAGCCTGCTTTTACAGTACTAATCGATAAGGTTAATCAGGTAAGTCAAATTGACATATAAACAAAATCAGTTAGCGTACTGGAAAATTTGTTGGCAATACTTTACTGATACATCTGTGACAACGGTTACTGCATCTACGATCCTCCGTAAAAGCATCGAAGACATTGTAAATCCTGATTAAAAAGTATAAAAAAAAATACTGATATTTTAAAACAATTATCCAAGTTCTGTTCCAATTAAACGAATGTAAACTATCTTTATTAGTCTTATCGTGGATTCAATGCGATGGAAATCATCATCGATTACAATATAACAAGCTATTGTTGTCCTTTCGGTCCCAGCTGGTCCTAAACTTTTTGGGAATGAAAATAATAGCACCATGCATAATATACGATGTCTACATTATTTAGCAAATTTGGTAAGTTCTATCATACGGATGTGTTCGTCAACGGTACATGGAGTTAAGGAGCACCTCTGACTCTAGACATTCCTTTAGATTCAATTAGCGGCTAGATGTAGGCTGCCCCGGAGTCTAACTTAAAACTGTTTCAGCCCACCGCTTCGTCACTAACTGCTTCATGTGTTGCCGACTGAGCATTCATGGTGGTGGTAATAGGTTGTTTGCCTCCGCCTTGTCCCTTAGCAGTAGTTACTACTCTGGAATAGCCTCTATTTTTCTACCTCTGACACTGTTTGGGTTACTTGTGGTCCACTTCTATCTATTTCGTTAATTCCTCCGTGAGTCCCTTCGTTGCCGGACGACTACTGTTTTAGCCCGGCCTTCCGCCATTGGTTATACATGACATCGCGATAGTCGCTCTGCTCGCCGTTCACGGGCTCCCGGCCGGTGTCACGTGGCTTTACCATTCCTAATTTGTCAGCTGGGTCTCGTAAAAAGTACCCTTTCATTGGGTTTACTTAGCAAGCCTGTCTAATTAGGCTGCTTCCTCCCGTCGCAGACTCCAATCCATCTATCCCAGAACGTATCGATGCCGCTGGACTCTGGAGACACTTACGCCCTGCCACAGAGAGCAGCCGACTCACTGGTCCAACACTGTCCGCGCGACGGTAACAACGTCTGACGTCCCAGTGACCTCCGACCACCACTACTAAATCGGACGCCGCATTACGGATAGTATCTCACGTCCAGCCATGTTCAAGAGTAAGTTCCATTTTCGAACGGGTTAGAGCCCTCGGTTTTGGAGAACGATTTGTGGTCTGATGCTGCAGAGACCGTTATGTTAACCGGATCAGTGATCCACAAGCGCACAGCAGTGAAAACTCGGTGGGAGTGACATACAAGCACTGGAGATTGTGCTATGTCTGCTGGATAGGACGAAGGTATTTTTACGGTGACCGGCTGCCGGAATATAGCTTAATGTGTAAGAGAACGGTGGCTTGTTTCCGTGATCTTCGATTGAAAGGATGTGTCCATTTGGACGATGAATGCTTATAGTGAATGCCAGAAAATCGGTATAGATGGGAACTGAAGGAGAATGTGGCTGCTGGTTCGTTGGTCTAGGCCATCTCCGGCGAATGGCTACAACAATTTTTTCCCAAGGCGGAGAATTAGCAGTCTCTACTATTATAGTTAGTGCTATGATACGTAACGCCGGACGCTGAACAGGCTACTCAGTAACGTCTTGACCCTCAGCCGAAAGCGACGCCAACAAACCCCACAAAGCTGCTTCATTGATTATAGGCTACTGGCAGAACCAGTTGTATCGATACCGGTTGCAAAGCACAGAGGCTATCGTAGACGAGTAACAAATAGACGGCCAAAGTCCTAAAGACGGCTCCCGAACAGAAGATTTCATATTGCGCTCTACGTGACAGCAATTGCTAGAGAGCACATCCTCGGTGCGGTCCGCGTCTCCTATGAGCAGTCCTACCGATTCCACGAACTGCTAAGGAAAAACCTATGCACTAATGTACTCTTTGCCAATTATTTAGGTGTATCGTGAGACGTACAAATTTTAAGCTAAAACGAATTGGGTTTATTCCTGAGAAAAGATGAAACCGATTGGTAACCGCTTAGTAGTAAATGGTAGTGTAAGCAAGCTTTAAGGTCAACATATTTACTTCAAATATCAACGTAGGCACGTTTCAGACATTCTCGCATATTGTATGATGATAGAAATACATTCAAGATCTTTGATTATAACCACATCTAGTAAACAGCTTATAAAACAGTACAGAGCATTAGAAGGCTATTGCAAATATGAAGTTATCCTAATAAAATAAGCGAAAATAAGGCTTGTTATTTAAAAATTACACTGGACACCTGTGTACTAGTATAACAGCTTGCGTTGTCATGCAGGTTGATTGGTTCTACAATGCCGAGCAGAAAATACATATTCTTACTTCAAATGAATCTTACCAAAGGGGTTATTAGTGCCGCTTAGTAAATTTCAGTCAGCATCTTTCTCACTGCCTGATGTGTCAGAGCCTTCGGATTAGGAGGTCTCTGCTGCCCATTTATCCTACTGCTTAGATACACAAACATGCTTGTTAAATCTTGTTAACTGCACAGAAAGTATCCTGTATAAGCGCTTGGAAAGGATGGCATGTGATCTCCTAGCCTAGAAGCTTTTTTTGTCATTTTCTTTTAATCGAAGCAGGAAAAATAATATTAGGGTGAGTTTAATCGAATAGCATTCAACTGTAGTAATTTGTATGAACATATAATGCATTGTTTGCATTGGAATTGAGACAAAGTTATGCGTAGTCAGCTCTTCGTACGTTGTTACGGCTTTTAAGTGAAAGTTTATGATAACTTCTAATTGGGCATTGTAGTCCTTGTTGGTATAATGCGTAGTATTGGCATAGTTGTCCCATAACTAGCTTGATGAGGTTATGCCATACTCGCTTTAGGTCCCCTTAGGCCTGTCGACGTATGTTGTAAGCATGGTAGAAGCAACTGAGGGTAAACAACAAGCCAGAAACTCGGCGAAGCAGTAGCTTGCCAATTAGTGGTCACCCAGTGACGATTTCAGAATAGTCGTTGTGTAATTTACTACATTATCTTACCCTCAGCAGCGCTTTCCGGCTAGACGTGTTCATTGTTTGGTGATACCGCAGGACAGGATTAAATCTATCCGATCCAGATCTCAAGGTCGCGTGTAGCGCTAATCAGGCTGACTCAAAGCGCTATCATATACACAT